GCTATGTAAAATATAATATTAATTTCATTATAAGGAGATTGATTTAATTAATTTTAATAGTAATGTAACTAAAGAATAATAAAGGTTTTCTAAAATTAATCTTGACATAAATAGTTTTATTTAGAATGTGTAATAATTTATGACAGTAATATATGTATTTAATCGATAGCAAATTTCGTGATTTATTACTAAAATATTTCTAAAAAATTGTTCTATAAAAATTAATGTAAAAGTAATTTATTATTTTCGTTTTCTTCGCTGCGAAAATTAAATTTATTTATTATTAATGAGCCACGATTTGCTTCTGAATCAGTCTTTTAAAAATTGATTTAGAAAAATGTTTTAAGCCTTATAATTTGATATATTTTGTTTTTTGAAGAGAGAGAAATTNACTTAATTAACTAATAGATTTAAATTGAATATTTTTTCTAAGTGTAATAGCTGCACACACACATATTTTTCATTTTTAATTCTTAGTGCCCACAGGGCATTAAGATTTGCTTTCCATACTATTTCGGCGAGGTCCACAATGGAGTGGTAAGGGATGTCCCTTACCACTCCAAGTTTATCCACTCACGGGATAAACTGCCCATGAAAACTTTTGAGTTGCTAGCCTAAATTCAATCCCAGAGAGGTAGGCTGATGTCTTAAAGGTAATTGTAACGTCTTTGTTATGCACGCGATCTCCTTCCCTCTTCGGACCTCCAACAAAACGTGATCTCCCCTTAAATCTTTACAGTGGCGTAGCGTGGGTGTCAGCCGCCCGAGGCGGAGGAAAATTTCGCTGCCCCCTTATTTAGGTATCTCAATTTAAAAGACTAAAATTCAGTTTCGTCACAGAATAAGTAATAAAAATTCCGTGTTCATTTCAATCGGTCCTAATCGTAGGTGCGACAAAAATATGAAATGAAATGGTTCAAATTTTTACAAGATATTATTATTATTTATTGTGAAATTTTGCCGCCCCCTAAAAGTGCCGCCTCATTACGCTACGCCACTGAATCTTTATCATTTTATAAATGATAGACACCATAACTAGATATAAAACACACAATAAATTTTCAAAGAAATATAATCAAATGTATAAAATTTAATGAAATAAACGGACGTCCACTGAAGCTCAACTCCTCCCTTCTCCCTCTTTTCCGACTTGTAGTAACCCCCTCCCATTCTTCCAGTGGGGACAGCATTTAAGGACAGCCTCTTACATAAATTGGATTATTTAAAAATCCATTTTTTAGTATCTATTATTTTCATTTATATATTTTCTTCAAACTTCAGCATGTATACACAATTTTGAAACCTCATCTCTTAAAAAATGACAGATATTGCCAAAATCATGGTTATTCGATTAAAATTGGGATTATATATTCTACTATTTATTGAAAAGTTACCAAGTTACAAAGTTCTGATTTCTTTAATTATCAAAACAATTATTTTCAAGGTAAGTGAAAATTTTTTGTCAACCACAGAGCCGTAACTAGGATTTTGGACGCCTATGGCCAAGAATAAAAATGGCGCTTTTAATTTTTATTATTAAACAATAATTTTATTCTAAAAAATGCTATTGTAAAAAATTATCGAATGAAATTTAAATACTATTTAAATATAAACATTTTTTTGTGTTATTAATTTCGAATACATATTATTTCGAAACCTTCTCGTTGGCGCCTTTATTAAATCGGCGCCTATGGCGGAGGCTACATTGACCATACCCTAGTTACGGCTCTGGTCAACCACAATAGAATGTAAAAATATTTCGTGTGCCACAGCACACACGAATTAAAAATTTAAGCGTATTGATAAATTATATTATAAATTCAATAACGAGAATGAATTAGCATAATTTTTGTTTTATAAATATAGGCCTCTATACTTATAAATTTTACTTTTAAATATAGTACAGGTATGTTCACTTAAACATCTGTCCAGTGGTAAAAGAGATCTTTTCAGTATTTCATGTGTGTATGCATGTGATGCAAGCTTGTTCTAACGCAAAAATAACTGAAGGGGATCAATTTAAAACGATTTAGCACAGCATACAAACAATCTCTAATTATACGCGGTAAACGAGAAAAACAACATTACCGATATTCAAACAAAAAGGTGAGCTTTTTCGTTACAGAACATTTTCAAAAAGACCGCCTTTAACAGCAAAGATTTAGATCAGGGGTGGCCAACACATTATCATGCTTTACCAACATTCTACGCTGTTAAGAGATTTGTAATGGAAGGTTAACTCTAAACGCACAGTGAGTTGTTGACCTTTTTTGAGGCCTCAGAATTTTTCATCGAGCTATTCGGACTTTAGTAGCTAATGTTGAAAGATTAATCGCGGGCCGCATAAATTCATTAGACGGGCCGTATGTTGGCTATGCCTGATTTAGACTGTAGAGTGTGGCGTTATGGATGGCACATATCATTTCTGGTGTTATCCTTTCACATATCTGTCGTATCCGTCTCTCTAGTTCGCCAACATCACGCAGCACTGCTGGAAACGCGTTATATACCAATGTTTTTAGGTGATAGTACAGACGAGAAAAATGAATAGTTTAAGTCTGGAGAACGTGGAGATTATGGAACAGATCCAGATTCCATGATCTCCACGTTGTCCTATCCAGCAGTTTCCAAGCCTCTTTGCGAGCTACTGAAGAGGAATGAGGTGGCGCACCATTGTGCTAGAATCAAACCTGTTGTATTTCTGTCCTATTGACAAAACATCAAGCCATTTCTCACCGTTGTGTTTGGATGTGAGGGCCGAACTAACCCTCAGTAAAGTGTTATTTTCAATTTTATTTATTGGAACTTTAATCAAGTAAAATCGAACGTTAGGCTAAAAGCCATAAAACTTATTTCCCACGGAGTTTGTTCCTTGTTGAATCAGATCAAGTTAGTCAGGGATGTGTCACCAGGAACTTTTGATGGAGAAGACATATTGGACGTGCGACCGTTAATAGCCATCATCTGACCTCAGGGAAAAACCCCAAGAGGAATGAAAGAGAAAAAAAAAGAGATCCCGAGGTCAGTCGTCCTCCAAAGTTCGTCCGCTGAAGAATTTATACCGTGCAAAATATCGTGCATCCGCCGACCTTATCATAAGTATATCTTACCCACCTAAGTGCCTCAACACCAGTCAGATACCTCCCTCCGAAGTTGCTCCTGTTACCTGAACACACTAAATATCAAGAACATTCCATCCAACACCCCAAGAATCCTGACGGAGAATCATCCAGTCATCAATCCTCGACTTCTCTATAAGGTATTTATCCACACGCGAATATCCTGTAACTCTCTCTTTCTCGCGACAGTTAGATTCGATAATCTAGGGATATAGAATATGGATATATATATATCAATCCAAGATGTCTATGATCGTATATCATGTACTCCTGCTCGTTAAAATAAATTTGTTATTGTTTATTAATCTGGAATCGAGTGAATCACTTCCTCGTTTCTCTCTCCTCACCTCTACTCCGAATCCAAGCGCTCACACGCTACCGCTCGCGAATCTTTAGACGTAACGTCACGATTTCCGAGTCCCCAGAGGCTCGGTGGTGTCATCCTGACAGGGCGCCAAAGAGGTGCCGACCCTACGGTCACACATCAAGCCATTTCTCACCGTTGTGTTTGGAATGTTCAGATATCCTCACTATTCAGGATACCGTCTATTTCTGGAGTGCGTTCTGTTCAATAGCGTTTTTAATAAATTAATATTTTGCCGCTAGATAAATATTTAAGTAGCGGTTATTTTAGCGCTAAAACAGGTATGTACAGTACAGTACCACACATCCATACAACGCTTGAAAGATCTGTTGCTCCTAAACAGATTGCTTAATAATGAAAAGAAACTTATAAAATATGTTTCATGTTTCTAGTCATTTATGTATTATGGTAAAATTATTTATATATAACAGCGATTTCCAACCAGGGGTACGCGAAGAAAAATTAATGATGGCGGATGTACTATAAGAGTATTCGGGTTCTGCGTTGAGATCTTTGACAACGTCACATAACTTGAATTTAATACATTGATCTTCTGAGTTTTATTATAAATACATATAAACAATTTATTATTAGTTTTTTTTTCATTAACCAACTTCAAAAAGCAATGGTGTGTAAGTAGAAAAGTAGATAAACACCGAACATTGAACATTTGTACCTATATATATTGGTATAACCTTCCAATTTCTATCAATTCAGCGGCCCGCTGCACCTTCCTTGCCATGTCACTGCTATTTATTTACAGTTGCAACAAGTTTAAAATACAGCTATATAAAGCAGAAACATTTTTCTAATGTAAAAGGTACAGTTTAGAAAAATGGGCTGTCAAGGGATACGCAAGTAAAAAAAAAAAAAAAGGGAATCGCTGATATATATACTGAAAATTGTTTCTATACAAAGTCTTTGGATCTTCTAATTTTTTTCTTTTACTATTTTCACGTCCTTCTCCTCCTCTTTCTTCTTCTTCACATTTCTTACGTAGGGGATTTTATTTATTTTTAATTTAGAGTTTCCTGAAATCCTTTCTTCATCTTATTCTTTTGTTTGCTGTTACTTTTCAGTTTATGTAACAATATAATAAATTTATTAATTTATCTTTTTTTTGTGCATTTTATTCACTTGATTTTTTTTACAAAAGTAGGTAAATTATCAACGAGAAAAATATCATTATGATTATCATGATAATTTATTTTAATAACTTTTGTTTGTTTACTATTTATAGAAAATGAAGTAATTTTCTCATTGCAACTACTAAACTAATATTTGTCAATTTACTTGTAGTTGTAAAATTATAATATATAGTAAACCATTAAACCTTATAATCGAGATGGGTTGATAATGATAATAATAATAAGCGCAGAGCCCAAACGGTTAAAAGTTGAAAGTTGAAATTTGGTATACAGTTAGAGTACGTCACGAGAACGTACACTAACTTGTAAGAAGAGATTTTTCGAAATTTCCCCCGCAGGGGAGAGGGAGAAGATTAAGGCTTACCGTGAAGAACTCGTCTTCTATTATACCTTTTTAGATGCGGTTTTTTGTATTTATGCGGGAAATCGAACATATTTTTAGACTTTTCTAAAAATTCTTAACGATATTTAATGTTCCATCGTATATAAAGTTGACACGGGGAGCGCACGAGCATAAGTTCGCTTTAATCGAACTCTTCGTCTTAATGTTCGATTTTATGTTCGAATTTATATTTATGAATGATTCGGGAAGATCCAACTTATTTTTCGAATTTAGTAAACCCGAAGAAGAACCCATAAGGAGTTACGAAAACGTTTGTTATTTATCATTTAGTGATACAGTATGTACTACATACCGGTTAGTGGTTGCTGTGAATCTTAATTATCGTTATCCCAATGTGGTAAGCAGATATCTAAAAATTTTTTAATTAGTCTCGGAAGAGGGGGACCTAATTCTTGTACTCGGTGAAAACGGGTAAGATCGGCTATAATCTAATAATCTTAATCTTTGCTATCGTTACTTTTTGTCCGAGCAACGTCGGGCTCATTTGCTAGTTAATGTATAAAAAAGTTTAATTACTATACATTAAATTATGGTCTAACACTTTTATAGCCTGTAATTTATTTTTATATAGAAAATTGAATTTAAAATATCTTTAATGAGAATAAATAATATACACACAAAGCTACCGTAAATGATTAGGCTAAATTTGGATATAATGATTATAAATTAGAAATGAATTTGGCACTAAAGTGAGGCGTTAGGCGCCATCTCGTATTAAAATTAATAATTATAATATTTAATTAATTAATTTAGATTAAACTGGAAGAAAAGTCCGGATAACGTAACTGGCAACGCATCCACACGGTAAGCGGGAGTTGCGAGTTTGAGTTCCGCTTCGGGCCGATTCTTTTCTTCCAGTTTAATCTAAATTAATTAATTAAATATTATAATTATTAATTTTAATACGAGATGGCGCCTAACGCTTCATTCTAGTGCCAAATTCATTTCTAATTTATAATCATGGGTTCGTACAGGTTAGGCCTAACCTGCTGTTAACATTTTCAAAGTTTTCCGAACCTTGTTAGCCACACGTAACATTCTCAGTGGTTTTGTTTCTTTTAAAAAATATATTAAAATATACGTATTATACTCTGTAACACTACTAAACTAGAGCCTTATACCCCGTTCGCCTTGGTGCGACCGATCGCGATTGAACCTCGTTTCAGTCGAGATTGAAACGACGTTCAATCGAGATCGACTCAAAACAGTTCTTGCAACTAGATTCAGTCCTAAGAGAAATCCCACAATCTCACGAGCGCGAGAAAATACAAGATGGCTGCGGAACACTTGTCGGGCTATCCACAGCGAAATAAAAAAAATATTGTATTTCGAGAGACGATGACATCTGTCTATTATTAGATATATCGCATGAAAAAGTATTGTATTTATTTCTAACCAAAACTTCCATTTAAACTGTCAGTGTTCGTGACTTACCGCGTAGTTATGTCAGTTTTATCATCGCGTGTAATATATATCTTTTTTATTTATATGGGTATTTTAAGGCCAGTTTTTGCTCTAATGTTGCTAATGCACCATTTGAGCGAAAAAAAAAATTGTTAAGGAAAAATTTTCTGTTTGCAAACCCTTTGTTAAATACTGTATTTCGAATATCGCCACTGTTTATAATCATTAAGTCCAAATTTAGCCCGATCATTTACGGCAGTTGTGGGTGTATAAATTTGCTTAATATATCGGGTTTCGGTTGTGTATATTTGAATAAATGATATTAAGCATTTGTCATAAAATGCTTCACGTTCTTAATTATTATATTTTTTTCTTCTATCAATAGGCCTATATTGTAGCTACCAATTTGGTTATTAACGAGGACTTATCACACCACAATCAAATGTAACCAGATTCGAACTTTAAACTCCAAACTTGGAGTTTAATTAAAAACGTATAAATTAAAAAAAACTTATAAATGTTTTCTTTAGAGCAGAAACTTTTTGCCCATTAAATCCGAAGTCCATTAAACCAGAGTTCGTGAAATGAAGGGCCTACTGTATTTTGTTTTTCTAGTACAAAAAGTAATATAGAAATGTTCTTTAGTTAAAAATCTCATAATTACCGCTCTTAATATATAGATACTGTTGATAATTGTAAATATTATAATCTGGTAAAGTTATTTTACCTTATTAAACAGAATTCTATACATCAGCCTGGTGTGTACTTTTACTGTACATTTAATATAAAGTAATTATTATAATTAAATGTTAAATTTTTCCATTCTTCTGCACAGAAAACACAATTCACTAAAAAATTTATTTAACTTGAAGTAAATGTTCCATAATTGCTCGATATTTCAATACTGTATTTAGATAACATCTTAACTATGAGTGATATTTTTAAAATTTATAATAGTCAATTATTTGTAATGAAATGTATTATAATAACAAATAAAAATAACTGATTTAAAATTATTTCAATAAAATAGAATAAAAATTCTGTAAGCAATATTTTACTTGCAAATATTATTTCTATGGATATACCCGCATTTTTTAATTAGTGCAGTAGGAGGTAAGTAAAATAAAATAAAATAAATAAAGTAAAACGTTTATAAAATATATAGATTTTAATGTTAAAAAATAAGATATTGATTTAAGATCTTAATCTTGTTAGAATCTAAAAAATAAAGCAAGATATTTTGATATTGCTCAAAACCTTGACTATTGGCCTCGGTCAATACAAAATTATAAATTTCAAAAGCGTTGCAAAAGTTATACTGTCCCTTTTACTATTAGTTTTTCTTCTGAAGTTTACTTTAAAATCTCTTCTATATGCCGCAGCATATAGTGTACAGCACTTGTACTTGAAGCAATACAATTCATTAATAAATGTATCTCTTTAATTTATGTGTCGTTTTATTCATAATTATATATTAACGAAATACATTTATAAATGAACTATAAATTAAAATGATCAAATACTTAATAAATGTAATGAATGTTTTTGTTATACACAAAAATAGAGTTACCCTTTCGTCGTATGGAATATGGAAATCGAAGTACCAAAAGTAATTGGGGGAGCTGATATTTGTCTTCTAAATATATTAGCAGAAAAGTTACATTTCAGGTATTCTGTAAAATATTTATATATTTCCGTAAACAATGTAATAATGGAGTTTCTAACTCATTTTGAATTATAATAATTAACTTGAAAATTTAGTATTTGACACTAAAATTCTTATGCCTTAAACATCTGTAAAGATTTAAAAATCAGACATTAGTAATTCAAAATCATCCCATACTCGAATTAAAAAACTAATTGTTTAAATATGAATAACAAATATGGCTTTTAATTAATTTAATTAATTAATTAATTTAATTTAGTAAATCTTTAAACAGGAAAATTCTTTTAGGATTCACTGGGAAATCAGGCTCAGATAGAAAAGGGAGAGCAGAGTCACCTTGCCCGGACTCTCGGCACAGAGAAATCGCAGAAATTTAATCTTTTTACAAAAAATCATGAGATTTATATAAATTAGATTTTATTGATTTTAATTATGTATTTAATTGGTTTTCTGAGAGGAAGTTTTGGTCTCATATTATGGGTGCTTGGGGTCCGTCAAAAAATTGGACTGCGGGAGTTTAGGGTAGGACCTTGCCATCAGGTCTGTTGTCGGACACCCTCCTATTTAGACAAAAATAAATAAATAAATAAATAACAGATAGTTAAGATGCGAAGGTAAGAGTCACTTCAAAGTCCAGGAATGAGCCTCTCAGTAGGATGAATGCAAAGTCAAGTAAACTAACTTAAGAATAAAAGAGAAAATTTGTTATGGAAAAACGAAACTTAACATTTGAACTTAGTTTAAATTAATAGTAAGTACAAAATTTGTTTTAGGGAGTTAACCTATTTCTATTTGTAAAACGGAAGGTACTTAGCGAGGGTTATCCGAACTTCGGACTCACAACATACCAGGAAAAGAGTTGTCTTCTCTTTTAGGAGTTGACTTTCTTTCTGGATGCTGTGTTGATTTTCCTCTTATTCCTCTTTTTTCTTTTCTTATTTCCTTTTATGTTATTCTTCGTTTTCACCAATTATGATTTTGTTCCGGAGGAAGTTGAGGTAATTTGCGATAAGCATGATTGGTCATTGCTATCTTGTCTACTAAGAATTATATGTGTCCACGTGACATGGATAGAGTAGCATCTGTCATCTAATACTATTGAAAAAGGAGGAAACGGCGGTCATTTCCTTCGTCTTTTCCTTTGTATGTTGTGATATTTATAACAATTAATGGAAAACTTTTTATTCTAATTCGTTTCTCTGAATTGTTTTTAATCGGTATTACTAAAAATTTAGAAAAGGGTGTCTCTAAAATTGGAAAAATAGACGAAATTCTTTTATGACGTTGGCTGATAAACATAAACAATTCCGTTGTCGCATTCACACCGGGATGGAAGACATGTTCTTTTCGATACTATACGGAAATCCTAGATTGAAGCCGAATCTCAAACCCTATGAAGAATTACAAAATGAGTCTCAGTGGGTTTTAAATTAATTTTATAAATATTTTACGAAATAACAGAATTAAAATTAGACTCAAAAATTATAAGCTGCAGATTGAAAAACAATATATTTATACTTGTATGCTATTATTGGAAATAAAAGTTTTTATTTACAAATTGAAATATATTAATTTACTTAAATGTATTTTTATTGTAGTTTTAATAATTTAGCATTAAAAAAGTACTTTTTATTTAACTCCATTTAATTAGAGACTTTTACTTCTATATTATTCATAACAATTCATTAACATGTTCTTATAAAAGTATTTTAAAATTAATTATTAATTAAATAAGATCCATTATTTTGCTATTTATATGATAATTTTAAAAATATAAAATTATATATAAATTTTAGTTACGAAGCAGTTTTGCCATTGGAATTACAATATGGAGTAATAAATGAAAATGGAGCGTGGACTGGAATGATTGGAATGGTAGCGAATAATGTCAGTATTAATATTAAAAAGTTATGTATTATAATTTTTAACGCAATATTTAATCTAAATTTAAATCTATTTCTTTTTTAGAGAACGGATATAGGAGTGCCAAATGCCTTCATTACAACTTCCAGATTGACAGTTGTCGATTTTGGTTCGCCTTACATTTATTATACTTCAAATTTTATTGTTCGTGCTCCAACCAAATTGTCTAAAGAAACTGCAATAATTAGACCATTCGATAAATATGTAAGGAATATATTTACTATAATTTCTGTTTATTAAATAAATAAATAAATTTAAATTTGTTTCTACAAATTGCACTGATTTGTCAATATCATTTGCTGTTAAATACATAAGATATATGGCCGTGATAATGATAATAGTCAAAATTTTCAGTGTATTAAAAAAGTACGTTTAAAAATTTAATATAGCTACCGATACTTTTCAATATAATATAATTGAATTGCCACATGCAATATTAAATTGTCGCCAAAATTGCTTATTAAATAGTGACTTATTATTAAATTACAAAATTGCTTATTAAATAGTGAATATCATCGTATTTCAATGCTTTGTTCGTTTAGTGTATAACAGTGGTTCTCAACTGGGGGTACATGTACCCCTAGGTGTACGAGCCTAAATCAAAGGGGTACATCTAACTTTCATTATAAAATGGCGTATGTTAATGAATTTGCTGTAAATTATTAACACAAGAAATGACAAAAGCTTGCTTTAAAATATCCCAGTATGAACACCGATTTCCCTTTTAACAGTCCAAACAACTTGTTCATCCACTTGATTTACCTGTCTATTTGTGCCGTTAGTGCCGAGTAAACCTGTAGTCATGAAAAATTTCGATTTAACCGAGCATTAATTTTAGAATAGATGAAAGCACCAATGTCAATAGATTGACAGTATTTTTAGTTTTTGTGAAATATCAGTACAACGATGAGCTTTGCGATTTGTTAATGTGCGATGACCTAAAAAATACAACTACGGGTTTTGATATTTTCAATAAAATCGATGATTTCATTCGAAGTAATGAAATAGCAATCTATTTCATTACTTCGAAAAAGTGTATCGACATCTGCACTGATGGAGCTAAAGCCATGCAAGGTCCAATTTAAAAGGTCAAAAGAAAACTTTTACCATTTTAACGACGTATTTGTGACAAAAAAAAGAAACAGGCTTGACGCATCAGCAGACATTCGTTGTCAGTTAAGAAGGTGGGAACCAAATTTCGAAAAAAATTGCTGAAGATTTATGGCAACAAATATCCCATTAAATTGTTAGAAATTATTATAGAATAACTTAAATTTTGTTTATCGATAATTATTATTATTTATTTTTAGGAAATGTAATTTATGCACGTATTGAAATGACTTCTGTGATTTTATATAATATACTTGTCAAATAATAATAAATAAATGTATGTACAGTACAGTATCTGTTTAAATTGATTATTATTTACGTAAAATAAGTACAGTAATCCACTTTTAGTTGTAGTTAGTGAGAAATTTTTTATGGCACTCAGTTATAAGGGCTGTATACATCTAACGCAGTAATTATAAAATTTATATACAAAAATATAAGGAGTACTTGAGAAACAACTAATGGGCTAATGGGGTACATCAACAAAAAAGGTTGAGAACCACTGGTGTATAACATCTAACTCATAGAAAAGTTTTTTATTTTGGATTATGTTTTAATTTTTTTTTTAATTTTAGTTATTTTCTTCGGTTTGCTAAATACAATTGAATATGATTAATTAATTTGAACTTGATTAATCTGAATTATAGGATAGATTGAACGGCTAGTATTTCCCGAAACTCCTATAAGTTATAATATTCAAAATACAATTAATTCAAAATTCTTTTAGTAGAAAATTTGGATAATTCAAAGAGATTTTAAAAACACTTGTGTAATTCCAATTGCTTGCAGAATGCCGTACCTGTGTTTCAGGGAATTTTTTATATCCACGTATTTTGTATGGTTAAAATTTATTAGTTTGAATTTTAAATCTTCCTTTTTACAGTAAAGCGCTAGTCAATATGATATACCGATTTTTTGTTTATGCAAATTCCGTCTTACTTGTTAGTAAAAAAGAACTCCTACATTGTAGACAGAATTGTGACCAGCTTGGCAGTTTTAGTGATACTTTGTCTAAATAACGGAATCGTTTACCTATGTTTCTGCGATGTGCAAGCACATTATATACGCAATTTTATATTTAGATAAAAGAGTTAAAGTAATTAAAAGAGTAGAAAATAAACTAAAGGGGAAAAAATGTGATATTCTGACAAACACTGTTTGGCAGAAAACTAGTTTGGTTTCCAAAAACGGATAATTTTTTTTATATTTTGAACCATTGTAAAAAGGCAAAAGGCTTTATTTTGAGCGTAGGGATGGGCTTTAGTAAAAATTTTAAACGCTAATAACGAGTGAAATCGTTATGAAATATGACCCTATTGGAAATGCAAATGACCCCCTTTATATCCTCATCACCTCGACCTTTATTCATCGAAATTTAACTGCATCAATCCCCCTAACGAACACACCGTCTTGAAAAATTTCAGAAATTTTCGACAAAAAGCACAGGAGTTATTAAACTTCAAAGAGAATGAACAAAATCGTATCCTCCACATACATTAACATCCATACACACAGAAAATTCGAATTTTTTCCATTTCTCGTCGTTTCAAGGTCTCTTGCGTCCAAAAGTGTAAATATCTTGGGGGACGGTCATTTTTGCCCGATTACTATACTTTCCCTCTGTTATATATAGGGGAGACCGGGGCAAGATCGGCATGTTAAGCTTTACTTAAATTTTGTGTAATAAATACTGCTGTAAACTGAAAAAAAAGCTTTGCATATTGTCTATTGGAATGTTACCTTACTATAGAACTGGTTAAAATCAGTTTGGAAATAAAAATAATTAAAATAATTACAACTTTACAAGAAGAGAGAAATTGACGAAGTTGCCCCGGGTATAGGGGCAAGATCGGCAACTTCTCTCTTTTTGTAAAGTTGTAATTATTTTAATTATTTTTATTAAAGTTGCCCCTGGTATAGGGGCAACAGTAATGGGGCAAGATAGGCACGTATATAAAATTATGTTATTAACAATGTATAAGTTGGAATTCACTATTAAAACAAAGAAATACAAATCCAACACCCATTTAATATTATTACAACGAAATGCAAGTTCAAAGACATATATACATGAATAACAAATGCAAACATGTTTTCATTTATCATCTGTTTGATTTTTATCCTTTGCTTCTAATGTGGCTTTATGTTGCCGATCTTACCCCGCTAGTCATGATTTCGAAACATTAAGTACAACCCTGAGAACAGAATGCCAAGCCACGATCTGGCCACGTGAATAAGTTGAAGTTACATCCTTCTAACAGGAAAAGTAACTTTCGTTATCATGGAATTATAACAAAACCTGCCAATTCAATATAAATGGAAAAAAAATATTATATGGAATTCAACGAAAATGAAAATTTGCTTGATAATTCAACTACGCTTGTTGGAGAACAATAAAAACACTACACTCAACAAGCCACCAATGAAACTCAACTGCCTAACCTATAACAAAAGTCTCCTTTTAATTTGTTTTAAAAAAAAGCGCTTGACAAACTTGCCCCGCATGCCGAAGTTGCCCCGGTCTCCCCTAACAGTCGGGAAAATAATAAATGAACTCAATTTGTTACACAGACTAGGTAAACCACAAGCCAATTCTATGATGTAGTTGAAAAGTGCGGATCTAGCATCTTCATGGCATCAGATGGAATTCTTTTTTAATATCTAACGTATAATACATAATTTTGTATTATTAATTTAAATGAAGAAAATTTTTCAAAATTTCAATTTTGAATATATTATAGACTAGATAGGCTTAGATAATTGACTTCGAAAAAGTATTTGCAGCTCCATCATCACCAGGTGAAAATAATACCGCTCCTTATTCATAATTCAAAAGAATTCGCTAAAGGAATATTAATAACTATTCTTGTGTGAAAATTCAAAGATATATTTACGTGACACGCTGTCTATCATAAATGAATACAAGTCATAAAAATTAATTTCTTAACTTCCATTTTGGTAGCAGAATCGATCTAAAAAGTAATGATTTAAACACATTTTTAAATTTATAACGGTATTGTAATGTTAATTTAAAATAATCTCACAATCATGGGCACGTATATTTATTCATAACTATCACGTTTGATACAGTACAGTACTTATGATAACGGATGCATTTGCTGCGTAAGTTTACAATACAAACATAATCGAAAGAATAGCCCACCATGAACAAGCTTTACGCAGTTTGTTTTTCTCTGAAGACATAATCTATAACTTTTTTTTTAATGTAGTAACATATACATTAAAACTTACAGTATAAATGTCATATAGGGATCTAAAATAAAGTATTAACGAAACTGCCTATAAATAATTAATAAACCTCTTCATTTAGCCTTTATATAGAACCTGCAGTATAGTATCTAGATTCTTTAACGTTTAAAAAACAATTAAAAATATTTCCCTTTGGAAGACCTTCACTCACTCCATTCCCACTAAGCCAAATCTCTCCTCAGACCTCCTAGTCTAGATAAAACGGTGATTATATACCTACGAAGATAGATGAAGAAAGCATAAATATAAATGTTTAAGGAACATCATTTTAGTGAATCAATTGATTGTTGAGTTGATATAAATTGCATACAGTCGACCCCCCTATAAGATATAGATACGTTCCAATTTATTAGGAATCCGATTTCTTACAAGTCGTTCCAATCACAGCCCGACACGTGTCAAGTTTACGGACTACGGCTGATTGAAAGGTTTTCTTCCATAAAATTAATCGATTCTACACTAATCCGACTCAACATTTCCAAAATACGTATATTTTTTCGTAGTTTTATAGGAATCGTAATTATAGGGACTGTATATTTTGCTCAATTAGACAAAATCCTGCCGAAGCCATTGGTGCCATTTTATGTTTTTTCAAATAAAAACATTTAATAAATTAATCGGATAGTTTTAGTAATTATCTTAAATCTATTTGTTTTTCTGTTTTATATAAAATATTTTACAGAATATTTTTGCATTTAATATCTACATAAAATTATACCTATAAGAAAGTATTGTACTCGTATCAGTAAACATAAATATAATTTTATGTATATTTTAATAAAATTTAATTGTTAAATGAAACGTTATTTTAATATAATTTAAGAACCATTTATTTTCAGTTATGGTTATGGATATTCATCACTTTAACAATAGTTGGAGTGGTAATATATGGAATAGTCCATATCGAAGAGAATGAAATCCATCATTACTTATATTTCTCGAAAATTTATTGGTGGATGTTTTCTATATTTATAGGACAAGGTATGTTGTGCATATCATAGATAACTAATTTTTTAAATTGAAATTAATGTTTTATAATTACTATTGTAGCTTCAGGCAACGATAATGCTTTAACAAAGTGTAGATGTATCATAGGGCTTTCCAGACTTTGCTTCGTTGCCTTATTATCTGCTTACAGTGGAATGCTAATTTCTCATTTGTCATTTCCTATTTTTACTGATGTACTTAATAAATTTGAAGAATTAGCAATTAAAGTTGAAAATGGAGAATATGAATGCGGTTCAATGAAAGGTTCAGCAAACGAAGCTTTATTCCTTGTAAGTTTGTTAAAACATATTTCGTTTTTAATAAAGAACAAATTTTTATAATTTATAATTTATAAATTATTTTTACAGAAATCACAGGAAGGTTTATTAAAAATTTTAGGGAATGTAATGAATAAGAATGAAAATCGATGCGTAAATATGAAACAAGCCCTTGAAAAAGTCTTGAACGAAAAATATGCTTTTATATTTGTTAGTCATTTAATACAGTATCCTGTTTTGAAAGCGGGCCCAGAAAACTATCATATGTCTGAAGGAATTTTCTCATTTCCTTCAAGTATATCTTTTAGTAAAGATTTCCCATTGAAAAAGGAGTTTCAGAAATTGTAAATTTTCATATTTTATATAGGCCTACTGTTTATTTAATATATCTTATTTTTTCATTTAGATATGTATCTGATAATAAACGCAATGTTTCATAATAGCAAATAAGATATTTTAAAATCAAAAACAAATAAATTTAAATTAGTATATTAATTTATTTTATGTAATTGTAATTTACTTATATTTTATAAAAATATTCAAATATTTTACTTTGAGACTGTAATAAGAACGTTTTAAAATTTTTATTCTTTTATATTATAATATATTCAAATATGATGAGTACCATTTTACAATAATTCAAAATGTCACTTAATTTAACAGTTTAAAACGGCCAAAAAGTTATAACTTTTCTATATGCTCCTTTTTTCTGTCTACATAAATTTTAATTTTTCCAATGTATTTTTGGAAATTTAGTTACAGTATTTGTTAGCTGTTTTTTAGTCGTTAACAGTTTTAACTTAATGGAAGACCCTGTAAAATGAGTGATACAAATCTCATATACATAATTTTAATCTCTTTAAATAAAAAGCTCTACTGTTTGCATTTTTCGTGTAATATCTTAAAAGAAATATTGCACCATCAGATTACAGAATCTTATAAGTGAAACAAAAACACAAATTTTTTTTGACGCAATGAATACTCAGATAATAATCCAGCGACGAGTAGTGTAATTTTTCCAGCATCTAAAATTGTGCGTGGCGCCATCTGTTGTGATATTTTACTAAAAACTTTTTATATTATTAATTATTATAAAATGGCAAAATGCTTAAGGGTAGGAATGAGTTTTATAAAAATATTGTAAATGCTAATAACGAGTAAAATCGTCATTAAGTCCTCCAAATATGACACACGATCCCCTCTTTCTCTCTACTCCTCCACTTTTAACCATCAAAATTTATTATCATCAATTACTCTCAAAAACGAACCTGCCTGCAAAATTACAGAAATTTACGACAAAAACGCACAGAGGTTATTAAGCTTCAAATTGAGTGAACAAAATTGTTTCCTCTACACATAAGCAAACATCCATACATATAGAAAATACCTTTTATTCAATATTCAGTCTCCAAAATTAATCTATATCAGAATATTCATATAAAATAGTCTGTATACACTTTCTATACTAATAGAAAAATATAACAGGAATATAACTGAACGCATTTTTAATTTAGGCTATAATATAGATTACCTATATGTACAGTGACCATACGTCCTTTATTTAAGAGGACAGTCCTTTATTTCACTGCTCTGTCCTTTAACTTTATTTAAGAGGACAGTCCTTTATTTCACTGCTCTGTCCTTTAACTTTATTTATTTTCTAAAATAGGCATTTTGTCCTTTATTTTGTAAAGTTGACGCAGTTTAAAAATTTTTTTAATAATATATTGAACAATGTAGTTTTATATACGCCATTGTTACATAGAGCACAGTAGTGCAGTGTGTCGCCAACCAAATGGCCCACTGACATTACCAGGGGGTGGACACTCTTATGGGGATTTTTGTGATAGTTTTTTAAGTCTCTAGTTGATGGATGATACACATGTTAATTAAAGCTGAAGTTAGCTGAAAGAAAAAAATGAGGGGTTTCTTCCTATTGTTATTAGAAAAGTGGTTTTAGCATTAGAAAAATCAGAAAATATACAAGCCAAAAAATTCAATAATGCTGTGTACACATTTTATCAAATGTGCATAGATTATCTAAATAATTCGGACATGTTTTTTATTGAAATAGAGGTGTTTGAATGGGTCACATTATGCAAAATCCCTTTGTGGGCGAAAGTAGAGGAAAGCTATATCTTTATTTCGAATCATTGGTCCGTAAATATATTCGACGGTGAATTATTTGATGAAGTTTCATGTGTAAAAAAATATGTCACAAACGAAAAGATTGACGAATGGTGACAATAACCAGCCCTGCCATCAAAAGTGGATTGAGATTTTTGAACATTTTACAGCAAAAGAAGTTGTTTTCAAAAACATTTGTAAAATCGTAGAATTTTCTTTGTCTCCCTGGATCTAATGCCCC